AAACATCCTATAATGCATGGGACAGCCCCACAACAAAGAATGCCCCAGCCTCAAACATCCGCAGTGCTAAGGTTGAGAAACTCTGGTCTATCCCTAAGATCTGTTCCTAGAGATAGAATTTCTGATTACAATGTCTAAATACAACTGCTGAGCCAAAGGGTGTGTGCTGTAGACATTGCCCTATTGCCCAGGGCTAATATTAACCCTAGGAATGTGCTCGGCCCCTATGTAGCAGCACACTGCCTCTGAGATGTTGGCGTGCTAGGTGTGGGTCCCCACAGGCCCTGGGAGATCCTCAAGCCTGGTAGGTAGGTTTGTGAATTTGAGGGGTTAATAGCTGAGGCAGGGGCTCCAAGGGTCATTCATTTAACAGCTGGGTACTGAGCTCTTGTCTGATAGATCTCCATCCTCACTGAGGTCCCAGCCCGATAGGGACACTGACCTGAAAAGAAACCATGAGATACATACAGAGTACGTCGGGCAGTGAATACGTCAGACTTGGGAAGCCAAGGAGGGCATCATGCAGGAGGCAACTTGTAGCTCATGTGATGGTTAGTTTTAAGTGTCAACTTGACTGAGGGGCGCCTGGGTGGCTCAGTCGGTCAAGCGTCCAGGTTCGGCTCAGGTCATGATCTCACAGTTGGTGAGTTTGAGCCCCACGTTGGTCTCTGTGCCGACAGCTCAGACCCTGGGGCCTGCTTCAGATTCTGTGTCTCCCTCTCTCTCTGGCCCTCCCCCGCTCATGTGCTGTCTCTCTCAGAAATGAAAACAAACATTAAAAAAAATTTTTTTAAGTGTCGACCTGACTGGGCCGAGGGATGGCCAGATTGCTGGTAAAACATAATTTCTGGGTGCATCTGTGAGAATGTCTCCGGAAGAGATTAGCATTGATTCAGTAGACTGAGTAAAGAGGATCTCCCTCCCCAGTACTAGGTGGGCATCACCCCATCTGCTGAGGACTCTAGAAGAGCTAAAGGGCAGAAGAAGAATGGATTTCCTCTCCCTGCGTGAGCTGAGAGGACAATCTTCTCCCCGCCGCTGGTCGGCCAGGGCAGGGCAGAGAGGCAGACAGGAGCGGGGAGCACAGAGCTTGGGGACGAGAGCTGAAGACGGGGAACTGGTAAGTGTTTATGAGACAGGGCCTGACCCTGTGCCAGGAAGGAGGGTCGGCAGTGACAGCAGAGCCTCATTTGGAATGGGGCAGGAGTGGCCGGTTGTCCAAGGCACGAGCTCCCGGGTCCTCAGGATCCCCGAGGGCCTTGGGTCTCACACGGTTATTTTATTTTATTTATTTAAAAATTTTTTTAAACGTTTTATTTATTTTTGAGACATGGAGAGAAGGAGCATGAGCAGATGAGGGGCAGAGAGAGAGGGAGACACAAAATCGGAAACAGGCTCCAGGCTCCGAGCTGTCAGCACAGAGCCCGACGCGGGGCTCAACTCACGGACCACGAGATCATGACCCGAGTCCAAGTCGGACTGAGCCACCC